ACCAGCAGGCCCAACACCAGGCTGTTTCTGAGAGCTCTGGGGATGGGTGGTGAATTCCGCCTGGTAAGACAAGGAGGCTTTGCTGGGGAGAGCAGGAGAGGCAGGACGGGAAGACCTGCCAGGCAGGGGAAGCTCGCATTCAAAGGTGTGGAGCGGAGAGAGCCTGGCTCACTCATTCAAGGAGGCCGCGAGGGAGCAGAGAGCCGTGCACGGGGCAGTCAGCTCGACGCACGGGCAGGTAGATGTTGCGAGCTCTGGCTGGCGAAGCTAAAGAATTCCGGCATGGCCTGGCAGCAAGCAACAGCTTCCTAGGTGTGTCAGGCTGGGGAAGGAGGCTCGGAAGGCCGACTCTGGGGGAGATGGTGCGGCCGCTCTTGTGGATCGTCCATCACCACACTCAGGCCGGCCGGCGCTGCACTTGCTCAGAGGTTTGGAAACCCCGAGGCTCCTGTCCCCCGTCCTAGCCTCCATTCCACCCTCCAGCTGTGCTGCGGCTCTGGGAGCCACGTGGCTCTCCCGGTGCTTGCCCCCGTTGCTCTGGACCAGAGCTTCCCACACGGGACTGGAAAATCCCCAGACAAAGTGGTGCCCCGTCCGTCAGCCCGGGAGCTTCGGGAAGCGGATGCTGTTTGTACGATTCGTAGGGGCTGCGTCCCCGCCTTGCTCAGTATGGATCTCCCACGTCCTTGTCCCCGAGTGCAGACGGGGGCACAGGAGACTGAATCAGTGGCCCTTTGTGTCCCTTCTCGTGCTACTTTGGCCTTGTTCTGCTCTCCCTGCTTCCCTGTCATTGCCATCATCAATAAAAATAATTATCCTTCCGGGCTGGGGATTTAGCTCAGCGGTTCGGTGCCTGCCTTGCAAGTGCAAGGACCCGAGTTTAATCCCCGGTACAAAAAAAAAAAAAAAAAAAAAAAAAAAAATTGCACTTGTCCCAAATTACCCTTAAAGTCATTTTATTCCTCTCTCTGCCCCCTCCCCCGGACAGAGTCTCACTGTGTAGTTCAGGCTGGCCTTCAACTCGCTGTGAGGCCCTCGCTAGCCTAGAACTTTTGGCAGTCCTCCTGCCTCAGCCTCTTGAGTACCGGGATTACAGCCATGCTCCACCATGCCCAACCTTAATTCCGCTCTTAAAGCCATCAAGTGAGGCATGCCGAGATGGATTTTAATCCTCATTTTTATAGCTGAAAAACCAAGATCCAGAGAGGGAAAGTGACGCATCCAAGGCCACATAGCAAGGGGAAAGTCTGACCTGAGAATCTAGGTCTCAGGCCCACTAGGCCAAGGCAGCTGGCTGGACCAGAGCTGTCCCATGGGTTCTCCGATCCACTCCCAGTCAATGCTTTGCTCCCTGTTTGTTTTCAGGAACCAAGCACAGGCACACTGCTGTGTGCCCTATTGAAATGATGGAACCTCTCTGTGCTTCGCTTTCCTTATTTCTAAAAGAACCCGCAGTCCCGCCTTCACAGACGTATCACACGAAGCCGATACTGAGAAATATCCCTGGAATAGGGGTCTCTTCCCTCGAGCTGGGCCTGGGGGAGTCAGTGGAAGCTCTTCGTCAGGGGCACAAGTTGCCAATACACTGTGGTCCTGTTTTTGTAATTTGCCCGTAGCTCTCTGAGGACAGCAGGACAGACTTGCTCATCCTCCTCAGCATCCAAAGGGTTGTTATGACAAGACTTCTCTCGGAGCGGGCCATTCTGGGTCCTCCCAAACAGCAAAGACCTATGGACCTTGCCTTGCGGCCTTAGTCTGGCGTTGCTCTAGCTCCAGGATTCTCGGGTCCCTGCCGACTGAGGGGTAGGAGGGTCAGGGAGATGGAGAGGGTCCGGAATTGTGGGTCATAAGCCCAGGGCAGGTTCAGGAGGCTGCGTGTCGTGGTGGAGAGTGAGGCATGGGTGGAGAGGATGCCAGGGCTGGGGTGGAAAGAAGCACTTTGAATTTTGCCCCAACCCTGCATAGAGCAGCTATCGATCATTTGCTGACCATGTTCACGGTCTGGTCAACACCCTGTAGCCTGATGTCATTTCTTTAACATTTTGCTTTATCAGAAACACTTTAAAAACTGATTCACGGAGGTGAGTTGGTTTGTCAGTGGGAGATGAGTAGGGTTTCCTGTAACTAGATGGGAGCTATAAAGACAAGACACCATCAGAACAAACAGCGCTATGCAATTCTCCCAGAGCTTGGCTTACAGGGAGCTCTGAGTCTGAGGCCTGCCCTCTGCACTAAGAAAGGAGACCACATCCAGGTTACGCTCTTAGGAGCAGGAGGAGCGCAAGTTCCTATCCCAAAACAACAACAGCAACAGAAAAAGAGAAAAGAATGTGTTAAAAATGGTCTCAGATGTGCTGTCCCGCAGCCTTTAGCCATGTGTGGCTCTACAAATTTGATTTAAGATTAAATAAAGTTAAAAATTCAGTTCTCTGCCCGGTGCTCCGCACCGTGGGAGGTTATTATGACCCCCTTAGACAGTGTGGGTCTGGAGCAGTCCGTCATTTTAGACAGTTCTGCCTTGGAGCTAAACTAGGACTCCATCAGGTGGGGATTTCCTCCAGGTCAGGACGGTGCCTCTCCTGTCAGGCTGGTGCTCTCCTCTTCTATCTGACCCCTGGCTCTGAGTACAATCTCCACCCACGAGTTTTACTCCCAGGAACCCTGATGCCGTCCCACTCAGCTCCTGCCTGAGCTCAAGGCTCCCGCTGGAGGGACCAGCCTGGTGCCCATCCCTGCCTCCTGACTAGTATTCGCTTCTTCCTTGTGGGGCCTCAAGGGGCCTTCTGTGTCCCCATCAGAAAATGAAGGTTATTCTGTGAGTTTTAGGAGAATTTGTGGGATTAGCTGTCTTTGGCTCTGAGCCCCAGATGTGCTGGGGAGGGGGCTGAGCCAGCTGTGCTCACCCTGGTCTGCTCTCAGTGATGGAAGGAGGCTGGGCCGCTGGCAGCTCTGGCTGGGAAAGGGCAGAGGAAGGGTTGGATCTGACCCCGGGTCTCTGGCTCTGGGATGAGCCAGTCAGTGGTGAAGGGAAGACTCCCTTGCCATTGGTTCCGTGCGCGGACAGCATGGCACCACAGCTGGGGACAGCCTGGCAGTGGTCAACAAAATGCAGCGATGACTTCCCAGTGGATAAGATGAAAGGATGGAGGGGAAGGGAAGCTGGGTCAGAGGGACATCGACTGAGACTGGATGACCCTCCCAGTGGACGACCTCCACACTCTGGTGCAACCACCTGGCTCCTGGCCACGCGTGCAGCGCCGTGATGGAATTTCCCATCATGACCTTGGATCCATGGGGCCTTTCACGTGTGTCTGGCATGCCTTCCTGCCACCTCCACAAGATGCTGCGTTGGTTCTGGTCTGCAGTGTGTTTTGAGGGTAGGGGCGTCCCTGGCGGCGGCAGGAGCCTGGGCCTTTTAGTCACCAGCATTTGACACAGTAAGAGCATGACACTGTTGGTGAGCAGTCAGGAAAGAGCAGAGTCTGAGTGCCCACGTGGACCCTTACTCAGAAACCCTGGGCGTTTCACTCTGCCTTGCCGTGACTCCGTTTCTCCCTCCTGGAGTGTGAGCTCATGGTCTCTGAGCCTTTCCCAGCCGAGTGCTCTGAAAACCAGGACCAGGTTTGACCCAACATACTGGGCCCATCCAGGCATATAGTAGGTGTTCAGCAAATGCAAGGATGTATGGATGAATGACAGAAACAAGTGCTTCCAGGAACTTCAGAGATCAAGGAAAAGGCATTAGAGGGAGAAATGGAGACAGAGAGAAGAGAGAGAGCAGGCAGGATGGGGCGGAAGGACGATGCTGCCCAGCTGCCCACTCAGTCCTTTCTCTCCTCTCCCTCCTGCTTCTCCCCAACCCCTCTTCCATGCTCCCCACAGATCCCAGGGTGCTGCAGTGCTGCCCAGAGGCTGCTTCAGCCCTGCTGGGACTCCCTTCTGGCACCCACCGTGCGGGGGCAGGGTTGGAGGCTGGGGTGGGGAACCAGCTCAGTGCCCAGGCTCTTGGCCTAGACACCTGAGAAGCTGGATCAGGCCTTTCTGGTAGCTTTCCCAGGCTGGGCGCAGTGCAGGAGCAGATTCCTGGCCTCACAGCCCTCTCCGGAGCTGGAAAGCAAGCTGGCTTCACCTTCCTGAGCTCTCTTTGCAGAGGGAACAAGAAGTCTTCACCCACCCCCCCAGCTCCAGGGCGGAAATTAGTGGAAATGATGAAGCGAAGACCAGGACCACCCAACCAAGGGCACCCAAGTGAAGTCACCTCCTCTAGCCCAGGGGGTCCCCCACAGGTCTCAGAGCATCCCAGAAGGGGCCGTCCTAGTCCAAACCCTTCCTGCCACAAAGAGGGAAACTGAGGCCCGAGGAGGGGACGTAGCCTTCCTCGGGTCACAGGCATCTGGAGCAGAGCCAGACTAGGTCTGAGCTTCCTCACAGCAGCTGTGCTGCTCGCCCTGCCCCACACCTCCCTTCTGTTTCCCTCTGGTACTGTGTCCACTAAGCCAACCGCGTTCTTGTCTAAATGATCCCTAGACCAAGTGTCGTTTAAATACTTAAATACAAACAAATCTCAAGCAGAAACAAAAGTCCCCCAGCCTAGAGGCGAGGATGCTACATTTGGACCATAGCGTTCAACAATGCACTGTGGGCTTTTCCTTTGCATACGGGTTTCTGCCTTGCCTTGCGAGTCGAGGCATGTTAATATACGGGAAAACTCTCTGCTTTGGAGAATAGAACCCTACGGATTTTGACATGTGTTTTAGCATGAAACCACCCCGAGTATTATGTCATGGGGCCGGCAGAAGTAACCTAAAAGCCCAACTGTAGGGGACTGGCTTTCTAAAACACGGAATGGTTTTCTAGAAGGTACTTGTTCAGCTCCCTAAGGCGGAGTGTGGAGGATGCTGGCCTCCTTCTCTCTGATGAACAGTGCTGGTGTGATGGCCCCGGCCCCCACAGCCTCCGTGTGGCTGAGCTCAGGCCTTGTCCCCGCTCTCCGGCTGTAGGGAACCGGCTGGACGAGGGCTCAGATGTGGAGTCGGAACCCGACCTCCCGCTGAAGCGAAAGCAGCGCCGCAGCCGGACCACGTTCACAGCCGAGCAGCTGGAGGAGTTGGAGAAGGCTTTTGAGAGGACCCACTACCCGGACATCTACACCCGGGAGGAGCTGGCGCAGAGGACCAAGCTGACCGAGGCGCGAGTGCAGGTGAGGGGCGCCTGGCAGTGCGCGGAGTGTTCCAGAGGCGATGCGGTGGGGCCCCCGGGGGCTAGGGGCCACGCGAACAAGTAACCAGGTGACACAAGGGACCGACGTGCGGGCACCTCGGGCCACCCGGGCAGGTTGGCAGGGCCTCACGCCCCCCACGCACGCACGCACGCATCTCAAGCCACAGGGGCAGACAGACCCAGAGGAACGGTGTTCCAGGGCTGCAGAGCGGGGCCTGGCGGATACCAAAGCCCACGTTCTTTTCATGCGGGAAGGAGGAGGCTGTCTCGGAACCTGGCTTTGGAAAGCATCGGGAAAAGTCCTAGAAGCAAACTGGCACTGAGCCCTCCAGGAGCCGTGCATCCTCTCTGCCTCGCACTCCCACTGACAAGCGGGGAGGCCTTGGGCGGCCTTTGAGAGACCCCGAGGGGCTGGGGCCAGGAGAGGCCCTCACCTCTCCCTCCCCTCCTCTCAGGGCGACATCTGAGCCCCCGCCCGGCTCTGCCCCCTCCCTGCACCCGTCCAGTCCAGTCCCAGCAGCTGTTGTCCTGGGCACATTCCTGGGCGCTTTCTCAGTCCCGTGTCTGGAGGCCTCCCTGCTTCCCACCACCTTGAAGCCTGATGGCTCCTTGTAAAATTTGCTGGCTGTCAGAGCTGTGCTTGTATTGGCCCAGGGGACACAGACACAGGTGTCACTCAAGGTCCAGGGCAGGAGGGGGTCTGGGAATGGAGGAGCTGCTGAGCCTGGGCGAAACCTGAGGGAGAGGCCAAGGTGACCTGTTTGTGCGAGACCGACTCCCCTGTGCTCACAGTGACAGGCAGGATCTCCACCCTGCGGCTGGCCGTCAGGACGCCCCCCAGGGCAGGGGTGGGCTCTTCTCTTTGGCCCCAGAGCTTCCTCAGCGGAGCAGGGAGGTAGACATATTGAATTTTAAATGATGAACAAAGAGCATTTAAGCCTGGAGAGAGGACCCAGGCACAGGAGGCTCTGAGAGCCGCTCCCCACCATGGGACCAAGATGGACAGCACAAGGCCTCGTGGCCAGCAGCAGGGACACAGCAGAGAGCCCAGGTCCCTCCTCTGACTGGCTGACTGGCCGTGTCACCGTCAGCAGATCACTGCCCTTCGCTGAAGTCAGTTCCCATCTGTAGCTAAGGGGTGGGACTCAGCGATCACTAAGATACCTTCAGACTGGCACCCTTACCTGACTGGTGAGGTGGTGTGGTCCGTGTCACTGGAAATGTGGCAGTAAAGGCAGTGTCCAGTCAAGCAGGGACTTAACAAGGGATTGCTGTTGCAGAGAGCGTGGGGCAGGACCTCGAAGGGCCCTGGGCACTGCTGAGATCCTGTAGCTGTGGACTTGCAAGCTTTGGTCTGACTGCAAGAGTCCATGGTGTGGGAGGCTCAGCCCCTCCACCTTGGTCTGCAAAGTGGAGATGAGCAGGGTACAGTAGTGAACCCCTACAATGCCAGGACTCTGGGTAGCTGAGGCGGGACAGTATGAGTTCAAGCCTAGGCTGGGAACCTAGTGACTTAGTCAGACGCAGTCTCCAAATTAAAAAAAAAAAAATTCCTCATTAAGTTTATTTGTACATTTAAAGCAAACAATGCAGTTACATTTATCATCGGGATCTTGCACCTGTACATGATACGTCTTGGTTCTTGCTTTTCCCCCCTCCCCTGCCCTCCCTTCACCCCCTTCACCCTCCTCAATTTGCAAAGACTTTGTTTCCATTTTTTGTCTTTTTTCACATTGTTTCTTTTCTCTTTTCCCTTATTTCCTTTCCACTTCCCCTCCTACTTCCCCTTTGCTCCCCCCCCCAAAAAAAATTTAAAGGGTTCGGGAGTGGGAGAGAGAAAATTAAAAGGAGAAGGACAGAGAGAGATATAGTATGGTCTGTCTTCCTCTGGCATTAAGTGATTAAATGCAAAGAGATAAAAAAAAAAAAACCCTTACAAAATGCGTGGCACACAGAAGGGGTGGCTGTTATGAAGATTCCACCTGTCCTGGGCAGTTCCAACCCTGGCCACCCTGGCAGCTCTGTGCCCATTCTTCTGGCAGTCATTTATTGAGCATTTACTGTTTGCCAGCTGCTTTTCTAGGCACTGGGAACTCGGTGGGAACAGTGCTTGCAGCCATGGAGCTGTTCTGCTAAACGCCTTAGCCGCTGAACCGTCGTGGGGCAGGGATCTGTTAGGACAAAGAGCTTCTTCACATTCCCTCCAGCTCTGCTCCCCACAGTGGGAGCCTCCTCTGGTAGCCTGTGTGACCTTACCTGGTGCCACAAAGCCCCGTGCAGCCAGTAGGAAGCCTGAGACCCAGGAGGGACAGCAACGGGGACCCAGGACTCCTCGTGAGGAATTTCCATTTTAAACAGCTGCTGGTCTCACCCCCAACCTTGCTTCTGTCTTCTTTGGAGGCGAACACATTGGCTGTGTCCTAAGCATGCGATCCTGAGCCCATGAGCATCTTCTAGAAACAGAGGTGTCGGAGCTGCCGGAGCCTGGGGTCACCCCTTGGCTCTTCTCAGGCCCGCCAGTGAAAATGTCCCCGTCCCCTGAGCACTAAGCACTGTGGCCCCAAATTGGAACCCTGCTGTTGGCTTTGGTTTTCTCTGAACAGAAATCCCACTGTGGAGACACTGAGGGGCCCTCTGCCCAACACCTTGCACCGGATATTGGCACAGCATCTGGGGATAAGCGACGGCCAGGAGGCTGCTCAGCACCCTGCGGTGCCCTCCTTGGTCCTCCCTAACTCTGAGGAGGCAGATGTCATTTTCTCCTCCATACTACAGATGGAAGCCCAGAAAGTGGCTTCCGAGGGCCTCTGTGGTCACCCATGCTGGGTGTGGGGAGAAGGAGACGAAATGCATATGAACTGGGTCGGGGCCCCACTCGTGGGCAGCACAAACACTCAGGCAGAGTCACAAACCCAGCCCCGTTTTCAAACAGCCCAGCCCTGTTGGGGGCATCTGGGTGGGGCACTGGGCCTCTTGAAGCTTCTGTTTCCTCTCCGCCAATGAGCAGTTTGAGCTAGAGCCGGCCAAAGCCGCCTGGCTCCGCTAAGTCAGGACGTTCTGTAGACCAGTAACCGCACATCAACGCTGTTCTGAGCAGCACCCGGCCTGTGTAACTCACTGGCGGTCCAGAACTATCTCCAGGCGGTGTTATTAGCTCCATTCTGCAAGAGGGAGGCATAGAGACACCACAGGGTTTCCTCTTGGCCGGGGTGGAGGCGGGATCAGAGTCCCTGGTCTGAGCCGTCAGACTTCACCCTGTGAGAAGGGAGGTGGCCTGGGGAACAGGACCAGACAGGAAGAAGGTGAGCACTGCCCCAGGAAGTCCTCCTGGGTTCTGAGAAGCCAGGTTGAAGCCCCCCTGCTGGCCTCTTTTAGAGCCTTTCTGGCTGCCTCTGAGCTCACTATCGGGGCCAGGCCTGGCAGAGGCAGCACCAGGGATGGGGCCAAGTCCTGTGCACCTCCAACCCCAGGGTCTCACCTGGCCACAAGAGGGGGCTTGGAAGGGTTTGAGGTGAGGAGAGGGCAGTAAAGAGGAAGGGAGCTGGGCCAAGGAAGGGCAGGGCAGAGGAGAAACAGAGCAGGCTGCTTACTGATGAATTTAAGGAAAACATGAGCCACACCTAAGGAACAGCTGCACCCAAACTTAGGTCATTCCCCAGCCAACTCCAAGACTCTTGACGTTCATGTTTTACCTGTGTTACTTGGTGTTTTCCCCCCTGAAACTGGGGACTGACTCCAAGGGCACTCTACCACCGAGCTACATCCCCGGCCACTTTTGTTTTTGTGTTGAGATAGGGTCTCAGGTTGCCTGGGTTGGGCTCACACTTTCGATCCTCCTGCCTCAGCCCCCTGAGGAGCAGGGATTACAGTCTCCCGCACTGCCACCTGTGGCTACACTCACTTCCTGTTTAATAAAGTCGCTGTATTTTAAGATAAAAGCATGTATCACTTCTATAAAGAAGTGAGTTGTAAAAAGAATATGCACAGGGGAAAGTGAAACATGATGAAAGTCTTTCAGGGAAATGTCACCTGCAAAGGCTCCGCCCTGCGTTCTAAAGAGAAATTAGCAAATATTAAGAAAGGCACTAAAAACAAAAAAGGCACTGAGGGTGCATTAGCACCAAACTGAGACCTTCCCTCCCAGAGTCCAGGAGGCCAGGGAGAGGTGGGGCACGGACGGGGTCCTGTCCGTGGGGCATCTGCCTCTCCTTGAGCCCAGCAGTGGTCCCAGGTCCGCCCACCTCATCCACTGTCCCCTCAGGCGCTCTGGGAGACAGGGAAGATTCAGCCCTACCTGCGGGCCCAGCCCAGCCCAGGATACCCCTGTGGACACCATCGGTGCCCTGTGAAAACGGGGAGAAGCTGGGACTTTGTTTTATTTGGGAGCCAGAGGTTTCACCCTTCGTTGGGCTCCTCTCTTTTTCCTGTGAAAATGAAATGTCAGAGCAGTGGCTCCGTCCCTCTCGCCCAGGAAGCAGACACAGCTGCTTCCCCGGGAGGGACCTAGGAAGATCAGCAGTGTCATGGGTGCAAAAGTGTCCTCCACCCAGCTGGCCTGCCCTCCCCTCTCTTGGCAGATGTGGTCCCCAGGTTTGGGCATTACAGGTGATTGCATACCAGGGGAGGTTGAGGTTGTCACCCCGCCAGGAAGGGCTCCTGAGTGCCTCGGCCCCAGCGAAGACACACTAAGGTCTCCTTGTTCATTCACTCGGTTCTTTGTCATCCATCCATCCATCCATCCATCCATCCATCCATCCATCCATTCAGTAAGTATTTGGCGTGCACCTGTAGGGTGTCCAGCCCTGAATGCAGAATGTAGGACCCTTGAACTACAAGAGACTCAAGGATGAGGGGATTAGAGGAGGAAAGGTATTTAGGTGGAGGGAACAGCATGTGCAGAGTCCAGAGGGATAAAGAGCCCCTCGAAGCAGCTCACTTCACACCCAGTTCTCCTTTCTCTCTGGCCTGTCCTGGGGACCTTGCATACCCCGATGAGTGGGCTCTAACTTAAGTCCGATATAAGCTTGAACCTCAGTCCCACCACAGGCTAGCTACATGACCTTGGGCACAAACTATTTGACTCTAAACTTCAGTTTCCCCTCCTGTAAAGTGGGTGCAGGAGAAAGTGTGTGGACAGGACCGTGCCTGCCCACCCGGGGGTGCTTGGAGGAAAGGGAGGCCCGGAGACATGAGGTTAGTGTTTCCCCAACATGTAATAAACCCCAGGCTGAGTAAGCAAAACGAGGTCTCTGTCCCCAAAGAATGAGCTTGCCCAGCCGAGTCTGGAGTGGGGGTCCCGTCTAGGTGTGTTCCCGATGTGCAAGGTTCTCCTGGAGGGCTTCCTGGGGAAGAGTGGGTGTTTGGGAGCTGGCCATCAGGCGGGGCCTGGAGCAAGTGTGGTAGGAAGAGCACTGGGCTGAGAGTCACTCACACTTGTCCGGGCCTCACCTTGTGGCCAAGTCACCCATTTTCTGTAGGCCTCAGTTCCCTCACCTGTGAAACAGAAATCATGATAAGAGCCTGTTCCTGGTGTCTGTGCAGACAGAAGCGGTCATGCCTCTGCAATCACTCTGCAAACCATCCATATCGGTTGCTTTTCCATTGCTGGAAAGTTGCCCAGCACCCACAGTTTAAGGACCCAACGTTTAACGTGGCTTACGGTTTTAGTGGGTTTACTCTGTGGCTGGCTGACGGCCTGCCAGGCAGAAATATAGCATGGCAGAGGGCATGGTGGAGGATGGCTGCTCAACCTGTGGCAGCCAGGAAGCAGAGAGGGAAAGAAAGGAGGAGCTGGGGACAAGAATGCACTCTCCCAGGTCACGGTGACCAGAGACTCACCGCTAACCAGGCCCCGCCTCCTCAAGCGTATTCAGCTCTGAACTTATCCACGGGGGAACCCACTGATTGAGGCAGGCAGCTTAGGGGCGGGTACTGGGGATCGAACTCCGGACCTTGCGCTTTCGAGGTAGGAGGCAGCACCCCTGAGCTAAATCCCTGGCCCTCCACCGATGGATATATCATCTCCATGATCCAATGGCCTCCCACACACGAGGCTTTTGGGAACACCTGAGATTTAAACCCTAGTTCCATCCATGTTGCAGGAAGGTGCATTTCCTCCCTGGAGGAGGACGCTGGCCGGATCAAAGGCTGATGCCTCTGAGGACTGGTTCTGTGTTTCCGCCAGGCCTGGGATCTCCATTCTCTGCTCCCCCTCCCCAGGTCTGGTTCAGTAACCGCCGTGCCCGTTGGCGCAAGCAGGCTGGAGCCAACCAGCTGGCAGCGTTCAACCACCTTCTGCCAGGAGGCTTCCCGCCAACCGGCATGCCCACGCTGCCCCCTTACCAGCTGCCGGACTCCACCTACCCCACCACCACCATCTCCCAAGGTGAGCATCCAGCACCCTTTTCCCTCCCCGCCCAGCTTCCTTGTCTTCCTTTCTCGGACAAGAGTTCTTCTTTTTTATACTTCCTGTGTCCTTGACTATTGCAACAAAAAAGGAAAGCCCTGCTGCCCTGCTGTTGAACTTCTCAGCTCTGCTCAGAGGCTGCGGGGCCCGGGGACGGGGGATCAACATTCAGTCCCTGTGCACCTGTTTAGACCCCAGCTTTGCAAAGCCTAAAGTAAACACAGATCTGGGATCTTATTAAAATGCCTGCATGCTCCCTGGTGAGGCCCAAACTGCTGGCTCAGGGGCAACACTTTGAGTGTCCAGGATCTGGAGTGTGTGGAGTAACTTTGGAGGGAAAGGATTAGAAGGTTCTCCAAAGGGTTGCGTGTAATCACAGCCTTGAGTTTTTCAAATGTGAGAGAGTGGAGTGTGTGTGTGTGTGTGTGTGTGTGTGTGCGTGCGTGCAGGTACCAGGAGACTACCGGGGCAATTTTTTGAGATCAAGTTAACCTCCAATCTGTAGCAAGTAAAGATTCACAAAGGGGTTTAAATAACTTTCTAAGGTCTCATTTTCTTGCCCGTCTGTTGCTCGAAAGAGCCATTTTCAGAGATGGACTAAAGGTCAGGCCTCCCTGGAGGACCTGAGGGAACTTGCGCAGAGAGACCTCCTCTAGGCTGAAGAACCAACCCTCCCTTCCCGCATCCTGGCTGTGCTGAGTGTGGTCAGGGCCCTGAGTTAGTCCTAGGAAGGAAGGGTCCCTTGAGCCCTGTTCTCAAAGCAGAGATTTGCACCTGGCCTAGGGCGGGGGCAGCTGCAAGGGGGTGGTAGGTGAGGAAGAGAAGAAGGGAAGGTGGTCCGAGGGGAGATGGTCTCCCTTACCCTCCTCGACCCTGCCCTGTTGTCTCCCCACCTTGGTCCACACAAGGAACCCCGCACTTGCTCTCTGCCTCCAACCCTCACCTGGCAGGCTGAGGAGAGTCAGGAGCAAGGCCGGGACAGAGCAGCACAGCAGCTAGGAGCAGAAACGGCTCTGGAGCTGGGCTGTTCAAAGGCTGGTCCACCATCCCCACCTTGGTCATCTTGCCTGAGCACCCAGGCCGGCCAAACCTCAGTGTCTTCGCCTGTAAAATGAGTCGCATTCTTGCTCCGGGCCTGTGGACACCATCTGTAAGAGCTCCTGGCGGTGGTCAGTGTTCACAGACACGGATAGGACCAGCCCGGGTACATTGACATGCCCGGTGAGGTGTGCACCTCAGTGCAGCTGACACGTACCTAACACCTACTGTGTGCCTAGCACTGTGCAGCGAGGCCCGTGGACAGTTGCCTAGAGGATGTCTAGAATCTCGGTGGGGCATCCGCCAAGACGTGGACAGTCCCTGGTGCTGTCCAGAGCCACCTGTCCCATCCCATGTCGCCTGAGAAGGTGGTCCCTTCCCTCCAAGGGATAGCAGGAGGCTCACGGCTCTTTCTGGCCTCCAGGAGCAAGGCCCCACCCAGCATCTCTCTCGGGTCTCTCCACAGACGGGGGCAGCACTGTGCACCGGCCTCAGCCCCTCCCGCCGTCCACCATGCATCAAGGTGGGCTGGCTGCAGCTGCGGACACCAGCTCCGCCTATGGAGCCCGCCACAGCTTCTCCAGCTACTCCGACAGCTTCATGAATCCGGGGGCCCCCTCCAACCACATGAACCCTGTCAGCAACGGCCTGTCTCCTCAGGTAGGGCCCCGCTCCCTTCCTCCTGGGTCCATCACCGGACCCCTGCTGGCTCAGAATTCACGGTCTCCACGGAGCCACTGGCTGGTGGTGCCTAGAGAGCATTTAAGTGGAAGGGCGGGTGCTCCTTTCGCCTTCACTTGTCACTGTGACTTGGGTCTATCTGCCTCAAGCTGATGCAGGTGGAGGAAATGCTTCCTTTTTCTTGCCACCCAGAAATAAGTGGGTTATTTAAATCCTTGCACATTGAGGCACCGCACTGGTACAAGCTGCCAGCACCTGGGGTTTAGATTTAGAACCAGGAGCCCTTCCTGGTTTCCGTCCTGTGCTTTTTCTGACAGTTCTGGACCAGGAACTGTCTGTCCTCGGGTTGGATCTTGGGAACCAGTTCACTCACGTACGATTGGCTGCTGGTTAAGTCACTTATTGCCTGGTGGTGCTGCTAGAAATCCTAGGACCTGCTTTGGGTGAAACGGGAAAGATAGTGCTGGGTTTGTGGTGTGTTTGGCGAACAGGACCTGAAGATGCCGGGAGTCCAGGTGAATTTGAGAGACTACTGGGCTTATCTCTGCAGCTATAGCAGATGCCCAGATGTCCATGGGGGGAAGGAGTTAAAGCTGAGATCAGTTTTACTGTGTCTCCCGCCTGCTGAGTCTCCCCCACCCCGCCCCACGTCTGTGGGGAGAGCACAGACGCGTGATGCAAACCGATCCGAGCAGCTGTGGTGCGATGGGAAAGGGTACAGGCTTCAGGGTGGGTTTAAAGCACAGCTGTGCTGCTCAGGGCACGCTCGGGCCAGTGTGCCTCTGGGAGCCTCAGTTTATCCCTCAGTAAACAGAGGGACTGTTCCTGCCTTCCCACCGAAGGATGTGGGCTGAGTTCGGCATTGCTAATGGATCAAAGCCCCTGGCACAAAGCCTGGCACAAAAAGGGCAAAGTGTTAGCTGCCTCGTCCCCCTCTTGCTGGATGATATAATTAATATAGAAAACCTGTTAACTTAAGGGAAAAGGAGCCAGAGGAGAACCACAGGCAACACCCTACAGGCCTCATCATCCAGCCCCCTGTTTGTGTAAATAAAGTTTTACTGGAACTCAGCCACGTCCGTCCTCTTATGGCTGTGTTTCTCTCACAGCAGCAGAGGTGAGTAATTTTGAAAGATACCATAGGGGCTATAAAGCCTGAAATACTTCCCAAATGGCCCATACAGAAAAAAAATGCCAACCTCTGGTCCGAAACACTCCCGAGACTGCTGATTTTCTGCATGTCTGGGTTCTTTCCTGTGCCTCTATTAATTTGCATAGTTGAGGGTGAATTGCATCTGTGTTCCAGCATTTACTTGTGGGGAAGGCCCGGGGCAGGTCCCTTTCCCTCACCATGCCTTGATTTTCTCACCCGTGAAATGGGCATAGCTGAGGTTTGAATAAAAGATCCAGCTGCGTAAGGTGCTCAGCCGAGGCCTGGTCCAGAGCGAGTGCCAGGGAAGTGTGGGCAGCCCCACATACAGCCCCTAGCGGCGATGCCACTGACAGCTGGACTTGTCGGCCTCAGCACTGGACCTCGAGGGCCTCCCCTACTGTCTTGCTGGTATCCCAAAGCACAAAACCCTGCATATTCAAAGCCTGCATCCAGAATGCTTCCCCAGGGGTGCTAATGGGCCCCTTCTGGAGCTCAAGGTCATGACCTCTGTCTCATTAGTGCAAGGCCTAATCATCCAGGCCAAGCATCCAAAGCTGGGATGGGAGACAGACACAAAAGGATCCCAGGACCTGGTAGGAGAGGACCTGCAGAGACACGGAATGGGGCCCAGGCCTGGCCCTGTGGGACAAAACAAGTTGGGGGGGGCATCCTGGGAAAGCTGAAGAGGGCTCTGGGATTATGTGGGACAGCTGTGTCACTTCACAGACGCCCAGGGCTGAGAAGCCAGGGCCTGAGGCCGAACCACTGCTCTTCCCTGGTCCCTCTGTGTCAGGGTCCTGAAGCAGGACTTGTACCACTGCAGATGAAGGGTCCCCGGCCTTCCGAATGGGGTTTGGGGCGGGGTGATAGGCGTGGACAGAGGGAGGGGAGGAAAACGGCCCTCTAGTGCGAGGAGAAGGCTCTGGGAATGTGGGACAGCTGTGTCACTTCACAGACGCCCAGGGCTGAGAAGCCAGGGCCTGAGGCCGAACCACTGCTCTTCCCTGGTCCCTCTGTGTCAGGGTCCTGAAGCAGGACTTGTACCACTGCAGATGAAGGGTCCCCGGCCTTCCGAATGGGGTTTGGGGCGGGGTGATAGGCGTGGACAGAGGGAGGGGAGGAAAACGGCCCTCTAGTGCGAGGAGATACAAGGGAGCTCCTCGCGTCTGGGTTTAGAGGCTTGAGAGCTGGATGTTGCATTTCACCCCCTCCCCGGAAGTTCCTGAGTGGGACTCAGGTTCCCTCTGCCCAGGGAGCACAAAACACAGAGCCAGAGGCCCTCGGGAGGCTCGGGAAAGAAAACTGAGAGCGTCATGGATTGGGTGAGCCTTGGCCTGCCCGGCGTCAGCACCGAAGGTGTAAAGACAGACGGAGGGGCCGACGGGGGCGGAGGGGACCGGGAGGGGAACAGCTGCTGCAGGGGGCTGTGGGCTCCTGTGTGTGAACGGCCCAGGCCTCCCTTGAAGGACGGCGCGGGGAGGTGGGGTGTGTGGGGCCCGAGTCCCCAGAAGTCCAGGGCCCAGCTGAGGGTCTGCACCTCTCTGAGCCCTGGACCAGATATCTTGGGCTCATCTCTGGGGTCGTGGGAGGGGTGAGGCCAGGATGTCCATGGTGTAGGGACACTGGACTCCGGTGACCCCGCACCCTTCAGGAGGGGTTTTGCTGAAGCTCACCTGGGCAGCAGGAAGAAGACGGGGCCTCCACCTGTTAGCCTCGGTTGTGGGTCCCACCTGTCACCCCAATAGCTTTGGCCTTGGAACAAGGGGGGTGTTTCGTTCTTACAGAAGCTACTGGGGGTGGGGTGAAGTGAGGGCCACAGAGCTCCTGTTCAGACCTGGGACAGGTAGCTCCGTACACGGCTGGCTTGCTGTGCCTGTGGGGAGGATGTCCTTCTGTGAGTTGATCTGGGTTTCCTGCCTCCAACTGCCCTAGAAGTGGGTGCTGCTGAGCCCCAGGGACTCCCCGGAGAGCCCACCCAGCAGCATTTCACAGGAAAGCCCTTTGCTCAGTTCAGCTCTGCGCCTGTGCCCTGGCTCTGACGGGAGTGAACAAGAGGGTGGATACCGAGTACCTACTGTGTGCTGGGTACTGTTGCCTGCCCTTGGGATAGGTTGGTAACAGAACGGGAGAAGACCCAGCCCTGGTAGGGCTGCTAGTGCTGGCAGACAGACAGGAAGGGAGTGAAATCAAGTCACACGGTATGCTTAGCACGACTCTGACAAGGACAGAGACACTCTGGAGCCCCTGTGATGTTCAGATCCTCATCTGATCCTTTCATGTATTTTAATCCGCGTACAGGGAAGAGCCAGGATGCGAACCCAGGTCTCCAGAGCCTGTAATTGGGACCACTTGTTCTGTCCCGGCCCTGAGAAATGCCCACACCTGCACAGCGTGGTGGAGGGAGCAGTGCCTGCTGTGGATGGGAAAACTCAGGCCAAGGAGCTTAGGGGGGAATTGGCACAGCTAGGTATGAGGTGCGGAAGTCTCCTTTGAGGCTTGGTTCCCTTGTAGCCAGCACCCCCCGCCATCTTGTAGGAATAAACACTCAGCATTTGATGTCTCTGGCTTCATACACTGGGTCTTTCTAAAGCAGAGCAGAAAACAGGAGCACCAAGCTGGAAGATCTCAAGTTTGAGCCCAGCCCGGACGACTTAGTAACTTAGTGAGACCCTGTCTCAAAATAAAAGGGCGTGGTGGTGGTGAGGGGGAGCTGAGGATGCAGCTCAATGTGAAGGCCCTGAGTCCAATCCCCAGTACTGGGAGGAGAGTGTAGGGATCACAACCAGGCCCATCTGAAGTTAGGGCTCAAAATCTGCAGCCCACTCTCCTCTTTGCTCCAGGTGGAGGGTCAGCTCATTGGAAATGACTCTCAGAAAGCAATTATGCAGATGTTGACTTGCCGTACGTACGGAGGCAGAGAAGAAGACGCCAGGCTGGCCCCGAGGGTCCCCAGTCTGATGAGGAGATGCCACCCTGTCCCTAGGAGCTTGTAATCTGGTGGCAGAGGCAAACCCCGTCCTTCGGTGTCCTGGTGTCATGGTGGACACACGGGCATCTCCCGGAGAGTCCATGCGACAGGAGACAGGCGTCAAAACGTCCTTTGGAGAGACAGGTTTTATGGCTCCCAGGTCTCAAGCAAAGACCCAGAGGCAGAGTTCTGCCGCTTTGAGGGTCCTTTGGGCTGGAGGGTCCAGGCAGAGCGCCCTGGGCTGGGGCCTCTGCAGGGCCTGGATCCTGAGGGGTGAGGTGGGCTCCTTCCTGAGCTTCCTCTTCTGCCAGCTTTTCCTAGATGCTGACTCTGAGTCAGGTCCGGAGAGCACTCAGTTTCCTAAAATTTTCCCCAGGTCGTGCTGTGAGATCAAGGCTAAGGCTCTAGGCCCTGGTCGAGAACTACTGACACCGTCTTTCTGTGCTGCCACCATCGTTCCTGCGTTCCTTATAGTGCCCTCCATTCGTCAACCTCTCCTGTGTCTTAGCATGAAGGGATCCACAAAAAGGGTTTGTGTCTTCACAGTGCCCCCCAGCTAATGAAAACTCCTAAGGGTGCAGTTAACCACATGACCTCGAGCCCAGCGAACCAAGCCTTCTTGTCCCTTCCTGCTCCTTGGTGTCTGCTCCTTTCCCTCCTGTGTGTCATGACTATGGGGATAGGAGCTGGGGCTGCAGCTCAGGAATCCAGCACTGGCTTAGCGTGCACGAGGCCCAGGTTCCGTCACCAGCACTGCCAGAGAGAGAACAATGATGGTGACAGGTAGCTTAGAGCCAGTGCTTGCAGCAGGCCAGGCACACGGGGGCGAGGCAGGACATGACTGCATTTGGCTGTGGA